TTTGACAAGGTCCCTCACCAAAGGCTCTTAGGTAAATTAAGTTGTCATGGGATAAAAGGGAAGGTCCTTTCATTGATTGAGAGCTGGTTAAAAGACAGGGAACAAAGGGTAGGAATTAATGGTAAATTCTCAGAATGGAGAGGGGTAACTAGTGGTGTTCCCCAAGGGTCAGTCCTAGGACCAATCCTATTCAACTTATTCATAAATGATCTGGAGAAAGGGGTAAAAAGTGAGGTGGCAAAGTTTGCAGATGCTACTAAACTGCTCAAGATAGTTAAGACCAAAGCAGACTGTGAAGAACTTCAAAAAGATCTCCCAAAACTAAGTGATTGGGCAACAAAATGGCAAATGAAATTTAATGTAGATAAATGTAAAGTAATGCACATTGGAAAAAATAACCCCAACTATACATACAATATGATGGGGGCTAATTTAGCTACAACAAATCAGGAAAAAGATCTTGGAGTCATCGTGGATAGTTCTCTGAAGATGTCCACGCAGTGTGCAGAGGCCGTCAAAAAAGCAAACAGGATGTTAGGAATCATTAAAAAGGGGATAGAGAATAAGACGGAGAATATATTATTGCCCTTATATAAATGGATGGTACGCCCACATCTTGAATACTGTGTACAGATGTGGTCTCCTCATCTCAAAAAAGATATACTGGCACTAGAAAAGGTTCAGAGAAGGGCAACTAAAATGATTAGGGGTTTGGAAAGGGTCCCATATGAGGAGAGATTAAAGAGGCTAGGACTTTTCAGCTTGGAAAAGAGGAGACTAAGGGGGGATATGATAGAGGTATATAAAATTATGAGTGATGTGGAGAAAGTAGATAAGGAAAAGTTATTTACTTATTCCCATAATACAAGAACTAGGGGTCACCAAATGAAATTAATAGGCGGCAGGTTTAAAACAAATAAAAGGAAGTTCTTCTTCACACAGGGCACAGTCAACTTGTGGAACTCCTTACCTGAGGAGGTTGTGAAGGCTAGGACTATAACAGCGTTTAAAAGAGAACTGGATAAATTCATGGAGGTTAAGTCCATTAATGGCTATTAGCCACGATGGATAAGGAATGGTGTCCCTAGACTGTTTGTCAGAGGGTGGAGATGGATGGCAGGAGAGAGATCACTTGATCATTACCTGTTAGGTTCAATCCCTCTGGGGCACCTGGCATTGGCCACTTTGGTCTGACCCAGTACGGCCGTTCTTGTGTTCTTATGTGAGGGAAAGGTAGAATAAAGGAATGAATTGGTGTGGGATGGCACGGACAAAAGTAAGGGACAGGAAACAAGAAAGACTGGGTGATAATGGGATTCCATGATGGAGTCTGGGGACAGGCAGTGTGTGTTCTGGGGGTGCCCAAAATTTAGGGGAAGTGGGTTCTGTTTAGTCTTGATCAACTCTTGAGGGTGAATCATGTCAACTGTTAGCTCTCCCAATCCACATGCTTTTTAACTTTAGTAAAATAACTAGTGTCCTATGTCCAGCAAAGATTTGAGTGTGGTTTTTTAAAACGTTTCTTTGGAAATTGATTCTTTTGCTGTCCTAGGAAGAATTCTCCCCTTGTTAACGATTCACAAGAAATAAATGTGCTCTTAAAATGAGATGTCTCCAAGTGATACATATGCCTGTATGTCCTGTGTTAATGGGAGTCTTTGAGAAGTGAGTTTATGGCATGCTGTTTTTTAATTTAAAAGAAAGAGCAAGTAAACAAACAGCTATTTTCACAGTGGAAGCACAGATACTAATAACTATATAACAAGCAGCATGACAAATGTTTCCAGGAATTATCTTCACCATTTCTCTCCTCCATTTCCCTCCAACTTACTGTTATAGCCATCAACTTAAAAGTTGAGCAGTGCTGTAAACCAATCCAGGTCGCTGCATTTAGCTTCTATAAAAATCAGGCAACTTCCCTGGAAGAGTGTGTATGTGTAGTATGTGTGTCTGTAAAGACAGAAATGATAAAGCTGCATAACATGAGAGAATATGTCATGGGAGCTGGGTTATAAAGGTTTTATCAATATGAATTTGGAATAGCTGTATTACTCATGAGTGTTGAAGCCATGCATTAATTGTGTAGGTCATCCCAAACTCATGCTGGTAAAACCTTTATAACATAGCATCCCATTGTGTATTTTAAAATCCAGGCCTGATCCTCAGCTGATGTAAATCCCGTGTTGCATTGTTGACTTCAGTGGAGCTGTGCCATTTTACACCAGCTAAGGACCTAACACCACATATCTTAGTCTACCAAGGCTAGAAACATTGTATTGGAATGGGGGTTTCCTGGCTTTCCAAAATATAAAATGCCCAGGTCTTGCCGTAAAGAATCATAAGGTACACCTCTCACAAGAAACTCTTCCACTCTGTGTACACATTTTTGTTTGTAACACAATATACATACTAATAATTTTAATGTATATCAGGGGTCGGCAACGTTTGGCACGCGGCTCGCCAGGGTAAGCACCCTGGCGGGCCGGGCCAGTTTATTTACCTGCTGACGCAGCAGGTTTGGCCGATCGCGGCCCCCGCTGGCCGCGGTTCGCCGTCCCGGGCCAATGGGGGCAGCGGGAAGCCGCGGCCAGCACATTGCTCGCCCGCACCGCTTCCCGCCACCCCCATTGGCCCGGGACGGCGAACCGCGGCCAGCAGGGGTCGCGATCGGCCGAACCTGGCGCGTCAGCAGGTAAATAAACTGGCCCGGCCCACCAGGGTGCTTACCCTGGCGAGCCGCGTGCCAAACGTTGCCAACCCCTGATGTATATACATATATATCGTGTGTGTTCATTGCATGTATTACTCTATTTCCTTGAGGACCTTACGTGATATTTACCTTCTTTTCTGGGAGGCAGATTTTTGGGTCTGAACTGAGGGAAAGTTTCAGCTTTCAAGATGGTGGCCGTAGCAATAAGTATAGTGCCCCCAGTAGATATATGCTTGTGTAGTGAGTGACTCATTGCAATTTGATTCTACTTTTCCATACAGTTTAAAGTGTATCACTCAAGAGGAAGACAGTATGATGTACTTTACTTTTATAATTAAGGTCCTAAATGAAGGAGATGAAGAGGAGAAGACAGAGCAAAATTATAATAATGCAGTTTGTACGCAATGTGATGCTTGTACCATTGTTGATTTTCTGAAAAAGGTCAGGGCTGAAGTTCTTTGGCAGAGCTATGTGAGGAAGTTAGCACAGCAACTCACGTACATAGTGCCTGGCTCAAGCCAGGGTTATTAACACTAACCTTATTAGTAACTTTTCTCTGAAGTCTGTCAAGATGACACATTAACAGCCTTACTATGCAACATGTTACTGGATATTGGTGGTACTAGAATTCCTGTACATGGTTTCTTACAACAGCTCTGTTCATCATTACTGCCCACCAAACAGTGGGTGGACTTGCTAGGGAGCCACAGAGGTGAGTGATTCCTCTAGTCAGTGAGTTAGTTAGCCAAGAAGCTGGAGCAGCCATTTGCTTGTTCACGTTTGTGGGATGTGATTCTTCACAAGGACTAGATTATATAAATGACTGAATGTTAAATGAGCATTTTGGTCCTTTTCCTGTGCTTCTGGTTTGCCTTTCTTGTTGTTTTGCTGTAGTTCAGACTTTTTTGGCAGCATTTTGTTGTTCATTGCTTTGTAAGAGCATAGTTTTCAAGCACTTTATGTTTATTGCAGCCTATCTTTCTTGCTTTGGAAAGTCCTTTCCAATATAGGGGGATTCAAACAAATAACAAGTATTATGATTCTCTGTCTCAGCTGGGCACACGTTGTGGGGGGCTGAAACAGCATGCTCCGCTCCTGTCTTTTTGCATCACAGAAACCTGCTTAGACTCCCTTAGTTGTTTATCCAACTGTGCCATTCATTTACAGTCTCTTTCAGCAGTACTATTTGCAGTGTACCCTGTGCTTTTGGCCCTTCCCCCAGGGCCTGAGAGGAGCTGAGGTCTTTTTTCTCTGAGATCTCCATGAGACTGGGCTCAGCTAGCCCTGATCCTCTCTCCCCCTCGCTGCTTTCCTGTGCCCTTCTTATCAGTCGTGAGCTGATGGGCCAGTTGGCTCTTCAGCCCACCCATCCTCCCCCCACACACACACACACACTCCTGAGTGGGGTAATTTAAGTTAATTATCTAATCATCCTTTTCTGCGGGAACTGAGTGATCAGAGTGCAAGCTCACCTGGTAACTCTCTGCACTCTGTCACAGAGTGAAAGCTTGGATCTGCAGGTAAAAACTTGTTCCACTATCTGCAGTGAAAGAGAAGACTGCCAGTATGAGGCCTTAATGTTCAACAGAAGGGCTACTATGCTGCAGCATGATTTTTTTTGATGATGGGTAACCATAGCAAGGACTATCTGCCTATTACTATTTTGTGTATTATTAATAAAGTTGGAGTCATTACTTTCCCTACACCTCCCGTCTGTCCTCCATTGCAGCATGTTGCAACATGCCATCAACAGTCATTGGTCTACATTGCTAGATCAGCTGAAGTATGCAGGGCTGTGTCTTGCTTTTTCCACATTCTATTCCAAGATAATAAACTGCTGTCAGCTACTCAGTACCACCACCAATGAATGGAATATTGCAGCACAAGCTATCTCATGAGAGAGCTGTACAGAGCATCACCCTCTCTTGTTTGGTAGGGACTGCTTACTGTTTGTGCTGCTAAATTAGCTGTATTCTTGGGAAAGTAACCACATGCACGAGCTAGTCTACTAAAGCCTCTAATCCGATTTGGTCCTTATTTTTGTATGTTGCCAAAATGTATACAGCTGTTGGTGATTTTTCTCTTTAATATTTAAGCGAGTAAATCTTGTATAGGCAGAAAGAAGGCTGCAATATGTTATATAGGCTGAGGAACAAAAGAAAGTCTGAAGGGCAAATTGATGCAAATAGGGTAATTAGCTTTCTTTAACTTTGTTTTGATAAATAATTATAGCTCATACAGTGTATTGATTTTTAACTTCCTCACCACAAATTTTTGTTTTGTTTTGTAGGCTGGATTTGGGTATGGTTTGCCAATCTCTCGTCTTTATGCTAGATACTTTCAAGGAGATCTCAAGCTCTATTCAATGGAAGGCGTGGGTACTGATGCTGTAATTTATTTGAAGGTAACAACTTGATTCCATCATAAGATAGTAAAGCTCTCAGTAATTAATTCTCTTGTCAGGCAGAACAGTCAACTGTTCCTCATTTCACACTTAAATTTGTTTCCAGTGTATATGTACAGTTTTTTTAACTTGTATTATTGTACTTTATTTAAATCAGACATACAGAATCTAAAAACTGAAGAATAAATGTGGCATTTTTGACCACAGGCTTTGATATTGAATTAGCTTGTTTCCAGTATTTTTTTATCCCTTAATGTTGGGTCTTTGTTCCATATTTTGATTTTGATCGATATTAAGTGATGAGATACCCAAGACCCTGGTGTGATGGCAGGCAACTTTTGTTAATACTTTTGTTCTTTTGGTTTCTGACACTTGTGACCACAATTAAATTGGGAGAGCCGGAATGAAGTGCACATTGGAGTGTAGAAGAATGATACAGATTAAAATGTTCCATTTCTATTCTTTTTTTTCTCCTCCTCTCAGTCTTCACTTTTACTTCTCCCATCTTTGGGGCTCACCCCTTTAGAACGAGCTTTGCCCCTAGCCAATGAAGGTTAGATAATTATTGTTTGGAATTTACCAAGGATTGATTCTCCATCACTGGCAAGTTTTAAATCAGGATTGGATGTTTTTCTAAAAGATAAGCTGTAGGAATTATTGTGGGGAAGTTTTGTGGCCTGTGTTATACAGAAGGTCAGACTAGATCATCACAAAATAGAGACACTCTCATGGCGAAGGTTCTGTCAGCCGCTCCCTCTCTCTCATATTAAGGGAGTTCCCTCTCGAGTGTGTCTGCTGAGCTCAACTGTGGCAGCATATCCTGGGGGGGAGAGGCATCACTCAGGTAACCAGGTCGCAAATAAATCAGGGCATTTAAAGCCAACTGCTTGAATCCAACCCAGAAGCTTATTTCAAGCCAGTGCATGTCACATAGTGCTAGTCTGTGCAGCTGCACTGAGTAAGCACTGAATAAGTAATTCTCCAATGGCTTCATCTTCTGAATGGTACCAAAGTGTAACCCCACGTCGAGTGCATTACAATAATCTAATCTTGGTTTGACAAAGGTATGGATAAGTGTGGCAAGGTCCTAACTGGAGAGAGAAGGTGAATGTTGGTGGGCTTATTCACCAGCCCAGGAAAATGCAATAAATAGAAAAAAACTGTTACCTTTGCATCCAGGAGCAGCCCAGGATCTAACAGAAACCCCAAGTTGTGCACTGGTGTTACAACTCACAGTTGTGGTCCCTCTTTGAATTCTACCATCTCTTCCCCATGACCCACCAACACTATCTCAGTCTTGCCTGGATTGCGTCAAGCCAGCTGGCTTCAGTTCTAGATTCAGATTAATCATGTTAGATCTAGGGCAGTGGATCTCAACCAGGGGTACATGTACCCCTCGGGCTACGCTGGGGTCTTCCAGGGGGTACATCAAGTCATCTCGATATTTGACTAGTTTAACAACAGGCAACATAAAAAGCACTAGTGAAGTAGGTACAAACTAAAATTTCATACAGACAGTGACTTGTTTATACTGCTCTATATACTATACACTGAAATGTAAGTACAGTATTTATATTCTAAATGATTTATTTTATAATTATATGGTAAAAATGAGAAAGTAAGCAGTAATAGTGTGCTGTGACATTTTTGTATTTTTATGTCTGATTTTGCAAGCAGGTAGTTTTTAAGTGAGGTGAAACTTGGGGGTACGCAAGACAAATCAGACTCCTGAAAGGGGTACAGTAGTCTGGAAAGGTTGAGACTCACTGATCTAGGGGAATGGACCTGCCAAAATAGTTCTAAAAAAACCAACTAAAGGGCCCCCTAAAACTTTTTTCTTTTAACCGCTTTCTTTTTATTCTCTTTGTAGCCACCATTCCCATGGAGACGGGGAGCATTTCAAAATGGATTTTTTTCATGGATTTTTATTGCAATATGGTCAACCCATTTTGAACTGAGTCACCATAAGCATAGTCAAAGTGGCTTCTAAAATACCATGTGTGGGGGACATGTAAATAGTTGAAACTTTTGTTGAATGCAGAAGTTAGTGTTCACAAAGAGTCTGTTATCATGTCTACCACTTTGTTGCTGAGAAACGTACAATAATCTCTTACCATTGCTTTCATTTTATAGGCTCTTTCAAGTGAATCATTTGAAAGACTTCCAGTTTTTAATAAGTCTGCATGGCGACACTACAAGACTACACCCGAAGCTGATGACTGGAGCAATCCTAGCAGTGAACCCAGGGATGCATCTAAATACAAAGCTAATCGATAATTTACCACCTTTGTCTCTCCCGAAGACAACTTCTGCATTCAGTTTAAAGTCTATGCTTTGTTCCAAAATCCTCTGAACCATAGTAGCCAATTACTTCCATACAAAGTCCTATCAGGGCACTGAAATTACAAAAACAAAGTGATGTATGAGACTTAAGAAAAGCACTAAGCATTTTTGGTGTGGGTGGTGTTATAACAACTTTACCAAAATATGCTTGGTTAGTTTGGTTTTATTTTGACAAATGAGATTGCACTTAAGTACACAACTATATAGTGAAAGGGTATTACTTCTTAACGGCCAGTTTTTATGCACAAATAAAAATCAGCAAAATCTGTAGAATCCCTTTAATAGTCAATAGCATCTGACATAGCAATATTATGTACCAGACAAGTTCTAACATAGCTGAATGTGTGCTTAGAAAATCCACTCTTCGCTGCAGTTTCATATTGCACAGTCAGTGTCATCTGTTATATAAAATCCTTTTGGGCTCTTCAGATCTTATAGCTAGTGACAATAGAGATGCATAGTTCTTAGAAGGTATCTGTAGCTTTAAACTGATGCTTTCCCCATATTCCCAAATCCGTTTGTCAAGTGCATCCAAAAATATATATTCTTCTAAGGCATTGCAACTTTCACCTCTTAATATGCACCTTAATGTTTTACTGAATTTGCACAAAATGCCAAATGATAAATCACATTAATTATTTTAAGAAAAGATTATAAGGGGTCAATGCTTCTCTACATTCTTGCAAGTAACTCCCATTGATATAGAGGTGAGAGAATAAATTTTATATGTGATGTTCTTTGCCTGTCAGATACTTTTTTGCTTTGCTTTTGGGAAAGCATACTGAGAAACCAGACAGCCAGTCATGTAAGTGAATTTGCCTTAAGAATTTTGGTCACCTGGAACCTGATTAGTTGTAAAACGGTAAATAATTTGCCAAATTATTTATCTATGTAGCAAAAGACAATAGTCTGATAATTTGAATTTGTACTATATAGAGAGAGTTGTTGCACCTTGGCTTTTGGAAAGCATTACTGGTCTAAATATTATTAAACTGGGAGCATAATAGAAACAATGAAGGATAATTAAAAATAGGAGATGGCTGATAAGTTGATGACTTCTTCCAAGGAGAGAGAGATTCATTAAACAGCATTCTCTAAAATTGGTTGAGAGTTACTTATGAATGTCAAGAAGCTGTACTATACCAAGTTTCCACCAAATATTGCCTCTGATATTGTGGGTCCATAGAGTGTACTATAGAGGTTAGGCGTTCTGGTAATATCCTAACTACAAGAGTAAAGGTAGAATGGGTTATAATGACAACTGTACTTGAAGATGTACCCTCAGTATCTCTGTGGTGTTTTGATATTTTTTGAAAGATATTGCAAGATTTTAACTAGACAAAACTTGTTTACTAAAACTCAGCAAAATATCCCTTTGTCCTCCTGAACATTTATTTTGTAAGAATTAGTCTGTTAGATAAATAAGGAAAAGGTGAGAACTTCCTGGATATTTTTAAAAAAAAACTTAGTTTGAGTTAGAGTAATGATGTTACTTTGCACTTACATAGCACATTTCATCCCAAGAATCTCAAAGCACCTTGTAAGCAATTCAGTCTCTCAGTACCCCATTTTTTGATGCACAAACTGAGAAAAGATAAACTCCTGATCCTGCAGACACTTCCACATACTTGTATGGAAGTTAACCACCTGTAAAATTGTGTGCAGGATTGAGGGCCGATGTTAAACAATAATCCCCCATGGTTGCAGACACCACTGAAGAGAGAGAAAGCTGCCATTCACATGCTACAGCCAGGTGGTCCATCTGTCACTGTGTTAAAATCAGTGTCGTCACTGAAGAATACTTTAAATGGCTAGAGCCTTAATTTTAAAGGACACATTAGACCAGAAATCTAGTCACTTTGGAAAAAAAAAAAAAAAAAAATCTGTTCTTGCCATATTTTGTACTTTTACAATCTCCTTCTTTTTAAGTTGTATCCTTGTTGCTGTTTGAAAGATTCCCCCCAAAAATAGATGAAAACTGGTCATATGGGGAGACTGTGAAACTGATTATACAAGAAGTGGCAAAATGTAAAATTTGCTTGAAAATATAATTGACTACGAACTTCAAAGAACAGAATATATGTATGAAAAGTGTAACATTTTTGCAGTTATTAGGAAAAAGTCATGTTATGACGCATTGAGTGATTTTTAGGTCTAGACTGCTTCTGTTTGGGGAAATTTTGGCTGACTGGTGGTTTATAAATGAAAATGAATAAAATAGTCCATGCACAGGAATGTTAAGCAGAAATTCCCTTTTGTGTAGCAGAAGTACATTAAGAAAATAAATACAGAAGCCAGTGAATGAGAAGTGAAGATATGAAGGGCAAGTGTTACCATAATTGCTGAGTCACTACTTTAACTAAAACAATTTGTTTGGTATTCAAGGCTAATCTGATTACTGAATAGGATGAATGCTTTGGTGCTCCTTAAGCAAAGAAAGTTTCGGTCACTTGCAGATTGGCCACCAGATGCTCCTTACTACTCTAGGGAAGAGGAGTTGGTGTCGTGTACATTTTCTTCACATCCTATTACATACTTGAAAACTCATGTCCTCTGAAATGGCTGCAATTAGCAATTTATTCGTTGAATCCTCTGCATGTCCTGATAGTTCAGAGAGGGGAGATGAGAGCAGATTCTACTCTGTCCTCTTTCCACCAGGCACCCCTAATTCCTCTGTTTTCTTCTCATCCTTGGAACCCCCTGAGCCTCACCACCCCCCCTGCACCCAGACACACACACACACATCCCCCATGGTGAGGAGTTTCCTGTAGCCAGGGGAAGTTTCTGGGGCTTGATCTGACCCAGCCCTGGCTGCTTCATGCAGGGAAGGGGGAGGGGAAACTCCGTCTCCGGCCTCCTCCTACCCCACCTCCCTCCAGCCCCAGCTGGGACTAATGTCCCTGGGTGGCCAGGGCATCCCCAGACTCCTCTCCCCGTGGCTGCCTGAACAGATGCGTCTGAGCTGCCAGGAGGGGTGAGTGAGCACTGGTGAAGCTTCTCTTTGCTTCCCCACAGAAACCATTTTCTGCAAGGAAGCAAAGGGATTCTGCGGGGAGGGCATTTTTCTGCTGTGCTGCAGTTGTGCAGAATTTCCCTAGGAGTACCTCTCCCTTTCTGCCTTACCTAAGCTACCAGCCTACCTACCTGCACAGAGCTCACTTCTGCCCCAGGTTTGACCTCCCTAATTCAAGTAATCTCCCTCTGCAGCATGTTGGCCTGTGGGAGTGGAGAGGAATTGTCAGCAGGGGAAGTTTGATAGGGAGGAGAGTTTCCCAGAAAAACAAAACTGACTTACATCCTGAAAAATTAAGATTGATAGTTGTTGCAGTGTTGATCCTAGCTAGTGTATCTAAAGATTCTGCTCTTATTCATGGGCGTCTAATCCTGTTTTGAATCTTACGAGGCCATTTGCCTCAATATCCTGTGGCACTGAATTCAAAAGTTAAATTTTATGTAGTGTAAAAATTTATTTCTTTTTATCCATTTCAGATTTATAGCCCTCTAACTTTATTGTATCCCCTTGTCTTGAGTTACAGAGTGCGGTAGATTAGAACAGACGTCTTCAGCTTTGTCATTAACAAAGACAGAGAGACTGAGCTATGCATACTGTCTCCTAGATTCTTCTTGGGAATTTACAACTGACTCTCATACCCTGATGGGATTGGAGTAGTTTAACTTTATTATTTCTGGTGTGCATCCTCTGGCATGTCTGTCTTGAACTTAATCTGCTGACTTGTAGCTCAAATACCTAATGTTGATAGATACTTATTGAAGTTCCTTTTAAAAGAAAAGCCATAAAACCTTGTGCTCCTTGATTCTGCTAAATTTCTCAATCTAAGGGGTCTTTCTGGGTCAGTACTTGGAGATGAAACTTTCAAGGAATAGCTAAATGCTCAGGTAAGTATTGTCTGGAAATGTAGTAGATGGTGCTGTCTTTATCTGAGTATTTTTCCCTGGTGACCCAGCATAGTACCAAAGGAATCTTATGCTGCTGCAGTTTGTGTTATCTTTTGGATAATATTTAAAATGGAGGTCCTGTCCTCCTATGGTTTTGTAGTTCCCTTCCCACTTTTTGAAGGAGTATGGATATCCTCTCATGGATCAGTAACTGGTTAAAAGATAGGATACAAAGAGTAGGAATAAATGGTCAGTTTTCACAATGGAGTGGTCAATAGGTGGGTACCCCAAAGATTTGTACTGGGACCTGTGCTGCTCAACATACCCAAATGATCTTGGAAAAAGGGGTAAACAGTGAGGTGGCAAAATTTGCAGATGACAAACAATTACGCAAGATAGGTGAGTCCAAAGCTGACTGTGAAGAATTACAAAGGGATCTCACAAAACTGGGTGACTGGGCAACAAAATGACAGATGAAATTTAATGTTGATAACTGCAAAGTTATGCACATTGGAGAGCATGATCCCGACTATACATACAAAATGATGGGGTCTAAATTAGCTGTTACCACCCAAGGAAGAGATTGTGGGGTCATTGTGGATAGTTCTCTGAGAACATTTGCTCAATGTGCAGCACAGTCAAAAAAACTGACAATATTAGGAACCATTAGGAAAGGGATAGATAATAAGACAAAAAATATAATGCCACTATATAAATCCATTGTACACCCACAGCTTGAATACTGCAATTCTGGTCACCCCATCTCAAAACAGATATATTAGAATTGGAAAAGTACAGAGAAGGGCAACACAAATGACTACGGGTCTAGAACAGATTCCACATGAGGAAAAATTAAAAAGACTGGGACTGTTCAGCTTAGAAAAGAGACAAGTGAGGAGGGATATGATAGAGATCTATGAAATCATGAATGGTATGGAGAGAGTGCATTAGGCGGTATTATTTACCCCTTCACAGAACACAAGAACCAGGTATCACCCAATTAAATTAATAATCAGCAGGTTTAAGGAAGTACTTCTTCACACAAAACAGAGTCAACCTGTGGAACTCCTTGCCAGAGGATGTTTGTGAAAGCCAAAAGTATAACTGAGTTCAAAAAAGAATTGGATAAGTTCATGGAGGATAGGTCTGTCAATGCCAAGATGGTCAGGGACGCAGTCCTATGTGCTGGTGTTCCTAAACCTCTGACTGCCAGAAGCTGGGACTGAACAACGGAATGGATTACTCAATAAACTGCCTTGTTCATTCCCTCTGAAGCATGTCATGCAGGTCACTGTTGGAAGACAGGATACCGGGCTAGATGGGCCGTTGGTCTGACCTGGTATGGCCATTCTTGTTTTTATGATGTACATCTTGGTGTTCTTGCCAAATTTTATCTCCAGTTATAAATCCTGCCTATAGCTCCAGTTGGATATATTTTTTTTAATGGCCTTAAGTGTTGTGCAGAGTTCATGTTCACTATGAAACAGTTTTTGCTTCCAACCTAAAGGTGACTGCATTTCAGTGGGGTGGGGTGTGATCTCACAAGCTAGCAAAGCATTTGGGTGAAATCTTGGCCACGTTGAAGTCAGTGGCAAAACTCCCGTTGATTTCACCCTTAATTTTTTTATAAAGTGCTTTTAGATGCTTACATCTAAGGTGCTATAAATTGCAAAGTGAGCTTGACTGATTTAAATAATTTTGTATAAACACACCTAAATTTTAGGGTCAAGTATATTTATCTCTCGACACTATCCATGCCAAGTTGGCTATTGTTAGTCATTTAATTAGTATGTATGTTTCCTTGGTTGTAGCAAAGATGCTGTGGTTTTGTAACAGCTCTTCATCTCCTCTTTCTGGATATTCACTTACTCATGAATGAAAATATTCTAATGTGTTTCAGCGATAAAATAATCCTCTGAGGCAGTTTACACTAAGGATGATTTATTTTAATATTTAATAGGAAGAGGAGTTTATCAAAAGATTATTAAAGAAACATAACTACTAAGGATATAGCAACCTCAGGACTCAGTCCTGCAAACACTTACGGACATGTGTTAACTACTCACGAGAGTAATCCGATTCAAGTCAATCTGTTTGCAGGATCAGGACCTAAACTATCAACAGTCCTTAAAATAATCTCCATCTGTGGTGTTCCGTAAAATATTTTCTCTGTTGACTTAATTTTTATGATCTTTTATTTCATTTGTTTTAATTTCATTACTAAAGATGCCTTAAAGTAGTTCAGATTGGCATAATTAAATTTGCTCCTTTCTTCTACAATTCAAAACACTTTAGGTAATATTGGTAGGACTGTATATGTTTTACATGATACTTTGATGTGTGCCACTTAGTACTGTAGCATGCCTTTTTTTATTTCTTTTATTTATTTGTTTGAAAATTTCCTTTGAATTGAATACCCCTGAAAGGTGCCAGTTTGACAGTCCTGGAAATCAAAGCCCTCCATCTACAAACTATGGGCAATGGCTGTGCAAGTTTCCCCACTCTGCTCTGCCAATGTGCTTCAAAACTGTTCAGCAGGGACTGCCTTCAGGTGTGAGACTCCATGTCCATTTCTTCCTTGCTCTCTCTGCTGAAACTGCTAACATAGCATGAAATTGTTGTCAGATGGTTTATGGTGCAGATACCTGTCTGGTAGAATCACTTGGCATAATAGGTCACTGAAAAGTATTCATAATGGTAACTGGTTTGGGTCACTTGGCATGCTCGAGAGCAAAAGCACTTTTATCATATTGTTAATCCCTTGAGGGCGCATGGGTTATAATGTTGGTAAATAAAACTTTGAATAAGTTTGGCTATTTAGATGTGTGTGGAGAGGGGTAGTCAACTTTTTTCAAGAGATTCCATGGAGATGAGTT